CGAGGACCAAAGCACTAAAGGAGAGGTGAGAAATTGAGCTAAATGAGGTAATTTCACCCTGGAGGTCTAGCTGGACCTCTCTAGAGATCTCCTAGATCTCTCTGTCTCACAGGCTTGTATTTCTGTCCAGTCATTTCTGCTTACTGGCTTGGGTATATATATAGTTCAAACAGCTTTCCTTTCACATGAATACTCTCTGGAACAGTAATTTCCAAAGTATGAGATCTGCACAGAAGATGACTTTAAGAGTTACATGATTTTGCCAACATGACGTTTAAATACCACTCACTTAGAAAATTATTAATCACAAGTCAAGAAAAAAAGTTCCCATTTTGCAACAGTACTTGTTTAATAAATTTAACAACTTCTAATTTTTAGCACAGGAACCCTAAGTGACAAGAGTCTAGTTAACAAAACACAATAATTACTATACTTTAGGGTATAGTAATTATTTTTATTTCATTGTATTTATTTTTATGGTAGTATAAACTTTCATTTTAAAATTTAACTTAAAATTTTTAGAAAGTGAGTTGACATAAAGGAAAACATTAAATAAATAGAAAACAGTAAAAAATAATAAAGGCAAGGCCAGGCATGGTGGCTCACGCCTGTAATCCTAGCACTTTGGGAGGCCAAAGCAGGTATATCACTTGAGGTCAGGAGTTTGAGACCACCCTGGCCAACATGGCGAAACCTCATCTCTACCAAAAATACAAAAATTGGCAGGGCGTAACAGTGCACACCTGTAATCTCAGCTACTCGGGAAGCTAAGGTAATCGCCTGAACCCGAGAGGCGGAGGTTGCAGTGAGCCAAGATCAGGCTGTTGCAGTGAGCCAAGATCAGGCTACTGCACTTCACGCCTGGGTGACAGAGACTCTGTCTCAAAAAAATAAATAAAAATAAATAATAATAATAAAGGCAATAAGTGTGACAAACATTTGGGAAACATTTATCTAGAAGAAAGTTTCTCAAACTTTTAATGTGTATCAGAATCACCTGGAAGGTTTCTAAAAACATAGATTACCGGGGCCTATTCCCAGAATTTCTGACTCAGTAGGTGGATCCAAGAATTTGCATTTCTAACAATACAAGGTGATGCTGAGGTGATGCTGAATTGCTGGTCCAAGGACCATACTTTGAGAATAACTAAACCAGAACAGTGACCAACAAGCTTTTTGTTAAAGAGTTAAATGGTAAATGTTTCAGGTTTGCAGGCCATATGACTCTGTTGCAACCATTCAACTCTGTTGTCATAAGCCAAAGCAGCCACAGATAATATGTATATGAATCAGCATGGTTGTCTTCCAATAACACTTTATTTACCAAAAGCAGGAGGCCATAGTGCCAGTCCCTGATCTAAAACATACCCTCAAGTAACTTTAACTATTAAAGTATTAAAGTTACTTTAAGAGTCTACTGTTTAAACAAATAGCAGGGCAGAATACAGAAAAGAACAGCCAGGTAATTACTATAGATACTATCCAATAATTATCAATTAACTCTTAAAAGAAAAACCTGGGGTCTGCAGAAATCTAAGGTATTAAGAAGATTAAAAACAAAAACCATTTACCATATTCAGGAGACAAGATTCAGCAAAGGCAGCTGGTTAAATTCCTTTCATGTTGAGTCAAGTAAGTCAAACATCAGTTGTACATGGTTCACAACTACATTGGAACATATGGGTCAATACTGAGTGCTTTTTGGAAAAGAAGTTTTAAAGATTCTTTTCTATGCTAATAGCAAAATATGACATTCAGTTGAATGGACTTCATGTTACTTTCTGACGGCTTTGACTTCTCAAAGTCCTAAGTTATTTAGTTCAAACAAAAACATGGAGCTGCAGATGATTTCAGAGTTTTTACAAATTACTTTTCTCTATATCCTCAATAATCTTGCAAAACTGATCTATTTTGGCCCTGCCTCCCAATATCTACTCTAGCTGCTGCTAGTGCATGAGAACCTAAACAAAAAGGAAACAGAATAGCTTTCCTGCGAGTTCTGAATTCACAAGATTCCAGTCAGAAACTTACCCTCATTTACTCCCTCATTCTTTTTCCAGCAAGATGTTCCAACTTCCTTCATCTTCTTATAGTTTCTTAGTACACTGATTAAGTTATGTCAAACTGCTTGTTTCCTCAAGAACTCTACACAGTAACAGCAGCAGGCTTTAAGGATTCAGTCTTTTTCAAGCATTTTTCTGGAATTCCATCTTTGGGGAGTACCTGCCTCCTTTAACTAGTCTTGCCCACTTACTGTCCTTTAGTTTTAAGCCTGTCTTCTCAATCCTCCTGCTTGCTGAACTCACAGCAACTTTAAGCTTCAATGCGTTGTATGAACCACCTGTTACTGAAGAGTACCTGATTCACTAAACCTGACCTTGATCCATGACACCTCATGGCCATTGAATTCCTATTGCCCATCTTGAACATGTAGAACACTACCGTCTATCCTTATATGACAACATCCAACCTAAACGAAAATAAAGAATTTACTTGCTCCTTTTAGAATTGATGCAGAAATAGACAAAATGATTTTTCTTTGTTTTGCTTATATTTACCTGAAGTAAAAGAATGTCTCAGAAGCATATGCTTACTTGAGGAGAGCTAAACAACTGTAGAGAATCCAGGAACGATGCAATGTTATATGAAGTGATACTTTTATTGTTTTCTGGGCTGCTGTGTAGATAGAAATATTATTCAGAGTTCGAAATGCAAAATGAGGAAAACTTTTCTTTTTTCATTGATTCACTATGCAGGTGCTTTCAGTGTTTTAGATATGCCTGAAACTCTGATAAAGTTAAACAGTTAACTGAAACTCAGATAAACTACTGTTTAATCCTATAGAATTCCTTATATTAAAGAATTTACAAGCTCTAGACTAAGAAATATCCTGTTGTTATTTCAAAAATGTCTGCTTATACATTAAAGGCTCCGCCTCCTTCACTTAAAATGAACAATCCAAGTGGAATAAAAGAATGGCTTATAACTCACCAAAAAATGAATATGGTTCATTATGTTAATGAGAAAAAAATTAAGAGAAAATGTTTTCAATGTTGATGAAAAGTCAAGGAACACAGATTACAGTAAAGATGATTTTATAAATAAAATCCATTAAAGAACGCACTACCTCAAACTTTGGTTCCGTAATTTTGCAGAAAGGCACAAATGTCATACTATCCTACAGATTATACGGGTATGTATTACTAATCTTACATTAGCAACAGGTAAATGGCTTTCCTAACTGTATTTTCCTGGGTATGAGATGAGTGTGAGTATCCTTTCAGTTTTATATCCCACAAACTATAACTACTGTACAATCGATCAGCAAAAATATTATGATTAATATATTAACTGAGGAAGTATATCCTACAATTTAGAAAGATTACCTACAATTTAGAAAGATTAACATTTAAAATAGTTAAAATTACTGAAAGTTTTAACTTGCCCAAAACAGTCCCTAACCGTAAGGGACAACTAATGATGCTATAAAATTCTATCTAACGTTCCTAGTCTACTTGTTGTTTTGGAGGGCAGGCTGCCACTCCTGGCCTATTTTAATCTTTCAAAGGTGGTCTCTGCTCCCATTTAAAGGTAAAAGCAATTAAGAGATACAGAACCCTCAGAATTACCTTCTGTAACTTACCTAATTCTAAGCTTAAAATGTAATCTAGGCTGGGAGTGGTGGATCACCTGAGGTCAGGAGTTCGAGACCAGCCTGGCCAACGTGGAGAAACCCCGTCTCTACTAAAAATACAAAAATTAGCCAGGCGTGGTGGCGGCCACCTGTAATCCCAGCTACTCGGGAGGCTGAGGCAGGAGAATCACTGGAACCCAGGAGGTGGAGGTTGTAGCAGTAAGCTGAGATTGTGCCACTACATTTCAGCCTGGGCGACAGAGACCCTGTCTCAAAAACAAACAAACAAACAAACAAACAAACAAACAAAAAAATGTAATCTAAATCCACGGCCTCAATTTTATTTAATTCTTATTGCATGCATCTTCCTAGACTTTGCTGGGATCAAGACCAGAGACTTATGACCAAACCATATTTGTTGGCAAAGGGGCTTTAGCTAAGGAACATCCTTGCAATTAATCCAACTGAGCAGCCGGGCGCGGTGGCTCAAGCCTGTAATCCCAGCACTTTGGGAGGCTGAGACGGGCGGATCACGAGGTCAGGAGATCGAGACCATCCTGGCTAACTCGGTGAAACCCCGTCTCTACCAAAAAATCCAAAAAAAAAACTAGCCGGGCGAGGTGGCGGGCGCCTGTAGTCCCAGCTACTCGGGAGGCTGAGGCAGGAGAATGGCGTAAACCCGGGAGGCGGAGCTTGCAGTGAGCTGAGATCCGGCCACTGCACTCCACCCTGGGCGACAAAGCAAGACTCCGTCTCAAAAAAAAAAAAATAATAATAATCCAACTGAGCAAAAATGATCCTAGTCTGTGTGAGGGGAATGGGTTCTTCCAACCGTCACACACACAATTCTCAAACTGTTTCTTGGATTTTCCTGTGCACCTCCTCCCTGCTTTCAAATAGAATGAATATGTTTAGGGAAAACAAATTATCCCTCTCCCCCATGCTAACACTAACAACTAAAACAGAAAGATATTTATAAAACGTAATGAAGCATAAATAAGATAAAATAAGATACCAGTAATTACTATCTACTTACAGCTCCTCTTTTCTAAAAAAACTTAAAATATATTTATTTTTTAACATTTCTGAGTATAACATAGGAAATTATTTGGTTTCCCATATAACAAATTACAGATTTAACTTGAGGCAAAAAAGGTTAAGTAAGTGACTTACCCAAGGTTACAATTAGAGGTACAGCTGGGGCTAGAAACCAGGTCTCCTGAGTCTCAGCCCAGTGCTCTTTTCCTTAGCCCATGATGCCTTATCAGAAAAATCCAAATACAGTCAGACCCCCAGTTATATGGGTATGAGTTACACTGATTCACATATACAAACTTTATATAGTGTGACCAATGTTTCAACTCACGCGGTACCCTGCTTCCATTTATGCAGTATGCCAGGCATCGGCACGATTTTCAGTGGCACACAGGCGGTTGCCACCACCAGGGCCCTAGGCAAAATTGCAAAGAAGGCAGAGTTTGTCTTTGGCCCTCCCACTTCCTTTATGCATTCCTCTCCCACCTCCTGGCAGTCCCCCTGCCCAGCCTCCCGGCACCATCATGCTGCCCTCAGATCGTCTAAAGCCCCCAACTTCCACCACTCACCCAGGAATGCCCTTTCTTGAAGTGCCCAGTGATCCAAAATTACCTCTCCAATTCCCTGCTAACAAAATTCCTACTCCTAAGGATTCCAGTGAAGTTTAGGTAATCTAAATGATTAACTGCTTTATGTAATTCAAGTTAAGGTATATTTAACTAACAGACTTAAATCTCCAATGAATTTTAAAAGGAACTAATTAAAAACTGTTGGGAAGGGGAGGAGGAAGAAACCTTGAGGGGGTGAGGAGGTAATGTTTTCCCAAAGCCCCAGGACTCTGTGCCACTTCAGATTCCTTCACACACAGGACACTAAGGGCTGAGGGGGTCACTGCCACCTTGAACCCCACTACCAAAAAAGAGAGTAGCTGCTTTATAGTCTCTGGAATTTTTTTTTAAAAAAAGGACAGAGTTGCCTTAAATACCCTCCTACCTACCTTTTCCATCTCTCTCCCACCTCCTGGATCCCCATTTCCACCTCTTAGTGCCAAAGACACCCAACAGCATTCCCATAAGCTGTTTGTGTGTCCAATACAAGGCTTCCCATTAAATGGTTTCAAATTACATGGTGTTATTCAGGGGACGTTTCCATGTTCCCCTATCCCTGGGTAACTTGAAGTTCACTGTACGCTAAAAAAGAACAATCCTAATTATTAAAAGTCCTGAATCATAATATGATATATATAAACTCATTAAATGGTAAGAAAAAAAAAGAGTTCTGATTCTTACTTTGCATATATAGGATTTTGATATCTAAAAAAAACTCCACTCAATTATTTTTCCTTGAAAGTAGAATACTTTTTACTTCTGACCCAATACAACAGTGAAAATCCAGTCATTTCAGCTAAACAATACTGTGGACTCGTAAATATGAGTTCAATCATAAATCCTCTAAGTCTGAAGGTCAAAAAAAAAAAAAAATCCAGTAACAGACACATAAAAAAATACACAAAGTGGATTTTAAGAAATCCATGTTTCTGCTGACTACACACACAGAAATATATATATTTAAATTTAGCTTTCAATACTAGACGGGCTGCCTAATTCAGAAACTTATCAGGAGATGGTTTACCTTCATCCAACTCCCTCCCAGTAAAACTAAGAAATCCAATCCATGAAGAAGATCCCAAAAATGGTATCCATCAAGGATTAAAAGGATCATGTAAAGCAAGTCTTAAATAATTTAATTTTATTACACAGATTATTCTGTTAGCTAGGATCCAATGAAGCCCGTTCCCAATACCCTCCCTCATGTTGGAAAAGGAGGAATGTTAAGACATGCTGCAGTGATAAAGCAACCATTCTTATTTAAACGTGAGAAATGGTAACAGTTAAAAGTTTCTCCAGTGGCATTTTTAAGTTAATGCTAACTTTCCATACAAAACTAATTTCCTTCACAATCTTTCCTCTCTACACAACAAGTAGGTTTGCCATCTATACCTATTTGTCCATATGTTCTACAAAGAAAAGTTCCCAATATGGGTTATTAAAACTGAAAATGTGAACACTGAAAAGCCACTCTATGCGCTGCTGAAAGATTTGAATGCAATGAAGTTTTTAAAATCTACTCATATTTTGCTGTAAAGCACTCATGTAAATTAAAAGAGTAACTTAAAAACTAAATTTAAGATGTGCCTTTTCTCTTAAATCAATACACTTAAATAACTTGTCAAGAAAAAAAGCATTTCCTAAGTGGCTAAGAAACTATCTGCCTCAACAAACAACACATAAAAACTACCAAAGATTTTGCTGTGTTAAGAAAGTAATGAACTAGACCTTTCCTACATATTTAAATGGATTTAAGTTGAATTTGAGAGTACATTACTAATTATCATCACAAAAAAAGCAATAGCATTTCATCATTTTATTCAGATATTCTCTTTATGACAAAGGATAATCCAGCAATTAAGGGCTTTCTATACAGAATCTAAACTAAGCGCCTGAAAGGATCTTTGTTCTCCTCAATTCTACTTCACTGGGTACCAAATTTTCAAAATCGTTCTATTTGGGGCACATGCAAGATTTGTCAATATTTACTGAACAAAGCCTCTATTAAATTGTCTAACAAAATGGAGGTCTCTCGGAAAAACAGGCCATAACATGTTCCTTCTCACAAAATGGGGCCAAACACACCCACTTAAGAAACCATGGTTTGGGTCAGATTTTCCATAAAAATGGTTGTTTCTGTGGGGCTCGAGGCTGCATCTCTGGGACTGGGTTAGTAATAAAGGTTTCCTCCTGACCCAGGAAGAGGAGGAGGGGGAAGCTTCTCTCTAGGTACTCTGGAGGACGGCGGCGAGGGATGATCCCAAAGCTCTGGGTTAAGGAATCAGATCGGGGGTGGAGGCCTTAGCCGTCCGCAGGTACCTAACCAGCGACAAAACTGGCCCCCCACTACGCAAGAGAGACGCGGGCTCTCCCGTCCCAGCCAAGTCAACATTAAAAGCACAAACTCTCCTTTCTGCCTCCAGGCCCCGCCTCACCCCATTGGCAGCAGTTCCCGCCAATCCGCATGGTCACCGCCCCCCATGCCCGCCTGCCAAGCCCTGATTGGATGGGACGGGGGCCGGGGACCTCGTGTTACCAATCTGGGAGCCCCTTACTCAGCCACACGCGCGCGCCCAGGTGCGCCCTCAGAACCCCTTCCCTTCGCCGTCCCCGTCCCCTCCCCCACCCCCAGGGCCCTGGCAGAGACTTACCGTCCCGGGAGGTGCCCATCAACTGGTCCAGCATCGCGCGCATCTGGGCCTGCGCCGACATGGCGGCGGCGTAGCGGGCGGACGGGCGGGGGTGGGGCGCAGACCGGGCCCTTTTGGGCGGGGGAATAAGGGGAAGGGATGGGGGAAGGTGCGCTGCTGTCTCGGTGGCCGCCGCCGCCTCGAGGCGTGCGGAAAGGGAGCCGGAGGGGTTGCGAGAGAGTCCGGACTGCGCTCCTCACGACGACGTGTACGTGGAAGACGACAGCCCCCGACAGCGACCCTCGTGCCCTCACTCTCCGTCCGGTTCTTGGGACAGAAGCGACACGGGCCAAGCGAGCTCTCGCCTTCAACACCGCCACCCGCCAGAAGCCGTCAACCCCCCCTCCAAGCTCTGACGCTGCTCGCCGCCACCGTCGCCACGACGGGAGCGCGCACGCTCCTCGCGCTCAGTCGTTTCCCGCGGGGCCTCCACCAACTGGCATCCAGCTGTATCGCTCCGCCCGCCCCTCCCGAGTGGAGTTCCACCCTAACGGCTCTGGGCGCGTGCACGCGCGCTCCTCCCGTCCCTTTACCCTGGATCTCGCGATATTCTAGTTCCTTAACTGACTGTCCAAGCCGGATCCGCCCCGAGGCGCCAAACCTTAGGCTCCCTCCGGGCTGTAGGACTGGCAGCTAAGGCTGCGCGGCCCGCGGTGATGGCGATTCAGACCCAAATTAGCAAAATGCGCTAGAGGCTTAGCCTGGGCAGAAAGTAAATAGAGACCATGCCCATTGCAGACCCGACTGCGGTCAGCCTCTTTGGCGTCTGAGGTGGGCGTGCTCGGGGCGAACGCCCGCCCCGAGTGGCGTGGACGCGTCCTGGTTCTCGTGTTTCTTTTCCGGCCGGGAGCAGCCCTGTCTCGCCGCCGCCGGGGCCGCGTTCCTTCCGTTGCGTGGGACTTTAAGGCTCCTCGGCTGGGAAGTGTCAGCTTCAGGAGAAAGCATCCGAAAGTAGTACCCTAAGAAACAGGCGCGCCGACCCATTCGGATTCATCGTTACCTACAAGGTCGCGGGCGGCTTAGTCTGAATGTGAAACCATCAAAACTCAGCGTATTCTGAGCTACTGGGGAGGCGATCTCGTGGAGCAGGAAGCCAGCGGCGCTTGACCGCGGGGAAGCCTGGGTTCTGAAGCCCGGCCCGTGATTGACTGGGGCCTTGGCTTTAGTTCTACCCCTCGTAGGGCTCGTGGAGGTGGTCACATGTCTCCTATGGCGTGGCTGTGAGAACAAACTGGAATAAAATATTTAGCCCAGAGCCTTTCCCTGGTGTTTCTAAAATCTGTTTTAGTGAAATATTTATTCCTTGCCGGGCGCGGTGGCTCACGCCTGTAATCCCAGCACTTTGGGAGGCCAAGGGAGGCGGATTGCCTGAGGTCAGGAGTTCAAGATCAGCCTGGCCAACGTGGTGAAACCCTGTCTCTACTAAAAATACATAAATTAGCCGGGCGTGATGGCGGGCGCCTCCCCAGTTACTCGGGAGGTTGAGGCAGGAGAATCGTTTGAACCTGGGAGACGGAGGTTGCAGTGAGCCGAGATCACGCCACTGCACTGCAGCCTGGGCGACAGAGTGAGACTTCGTCTAAAAAAAAAATTCCTTAAGTAAGACATATAGGTCTGTGTGCAGGAAGAAAAGTTGCTTAAAAAGAAATTTAAAACGGTAAGAAAAATTAATGAGTTAATAAGAAGACAGGCACTTTCTAGATACTTTGAAAGGAAATAATAGAGATTTGTGTTCCGTTAACATATATTTATCGCCTTGGAACTATTAGCAGATCAGTAAGAAACATGAATAGTAGTAATAGTCCCAAAATCCCTTTAAATGTATATTGCAGCTGGGAGCGATGGCTCATGCCTGTAATCCCAGCACTTTGGGAGGCAGAGGCGGGGGGATGACCTTGAGGTCAGGAGTTCAAGACCAGCCTGACCAACATGGTGAAATTCCATCTCGACTAAAAATACAAAAATTAGCCGGGCATGGTGGCACGCGCCTATAATCCCAGCTACTCGGAGGCTGAGGCAGGAGAATCACTTGAACCCAGGAGGTGGAGGTTGCAGTAAGCCGAGATCATGCCACTGCACTCCAGCTTGGGGATAGAGCAAGACTCTATCTCAAAAATAAATGCATATTGGGCCAATAAAAATGTTTGAGGCCAGACGCGGTGGCTCACACCTGTAATCCCAGCACTTTGGGACACCAAGGCGGGTGAATCATGAGGTCGGGAGTTTGAGACCAGCCTGGCCAACATGGTGAAACCCTGTCTCTACTAAAAGTAGAAAAAATGAGCTGGGTGTGGTGGTGTGCGTCTGTAATCCCAGCTACACGGGAGGCTGAGGCAGGAGAACTGCTTGAACCCAGGAGGCAGAGGTTGCAGTGCGCCGAGATGGCGCCACAGCACTCCGGCCCGGGTGTTAGACTCCGTCTCAAAAAAAAAATTTTTTTTTTAATCACGTTATCTTTAGTAATAGACAAAATAGCTTCTCTCCAGTTATTCAGAGAACTCTGAATTCCAAACTCCAAATACTAGGATATCCTTTGGGAACTGATTACAATAATAGAAAAATGTGGAAATTAATATGTCTTAGAGGGATGCACTATTATGTACACAATGTGATCTGACCCTGAAAAACAATATATTTAGGGAAATACACTAAAACGAATAATTATGTTTTGGTGAAGAGATTTGAGTTCTTGTTTATATTTTAGATGTCTCTTATAAATAGCATATAATTGGGGATTAAAAATAGTCTATACAATACATAATGATCAAAACTGAGGAGTGAAATTGAGGAATGACTTAAGTGATGTTCACTCTTTGAAGCATTATTTATATTCATGTAATTACTCCTGCGTTTGGGTTTAAAACTCTTATTTTTGTCTATTTGTCTCACCTTTTTCTTATTTTTGTCTATTTATCTCACCTATTTCATGTTTTTCTCATCTTTCTTGCCTGATTTTTACTCATTCCAATTTTTTCCACTCTAGTAGTGTGGAAGTTTCATTTTATTATATTTTTGTTCTTTCAGTGATTACCCTAGAAGTTATAATGTGTATCCTTAAGGTATCAAACTCTAATTTAATCAATACTTTTATACCCCCCTCCCCCAAGAGAAGTAATACAAGAAACCTAGAACACTAACTCCATTTACTCTCATCCCAAGTTACATGCTCTAGTTACCAGGTCTTATTTTTAAGTTTTATATAATCAGTGTTCTTTATTTACCACTTATTTTGCTCTTCATTCCTTCGTAAATCTCTGCCTGTCCATCTGGGATCATTTCCTTTTTGTCTGAAGTTTATCCTTTAGCACAGGAGTCAGCAAGCTACGGTCCACAGGCCAAATGCAGCCCACGGCCTATTTTTGTGAATAAAGTTTCATTTGAATACTGCCAGGCTTATTCATTTACATATTGTTAATGGTTGCTTTTGCCCCACAGTAGAGTTGAGTGGTTTGTGAGGGATCCCGTACTGTGTGGCCTACAAGACTCAAATATTTACTATCTGACGGTTTTTTTGTTTTTTTTTTAAGACGGGGTTTCACCATGTTGGCCAGGCTAGTCTCAAACTCCTGACCTTAAGTGATCCACCCGCCTCAGCCTCCCAAAGTGCTGGGATTACCAGGGTGAACCACCCTGCCCGGCCTGACTATAAAGTTTGCCTCCCTTGCTTCAGGGTTTGCTTTTGTGTTGGTCGGCTAGTTGGGAGAAAGCTCCCATTTTGTTTATCTAAAAAGATCTTTATTTTGCTTTAAATTCTAGATGGATATTTTTATCAACTAAATCCAAGGTTGGAGGTTCCTTTTTTTTTTTTTTTTTTTTGAGATAGGGTCTTGCTCTGTCACCCAGGCTGGAGTGCAGTGGTGAGACCTTGCCTTGGCTCACTGCAGCCTTGGCTTCCTAGGCTCAAGTGATCCTCCCACCTCAGCCTCCCAAGTAGCTGGGACTGCAGGTATGCACCACCACACTGAGCTAATTTTTAAAATTTTTCTTGTAGAGACAAGGTCTCCCTATGTTGCCCAGGTCGCTCTGGAACTCCTGGGCTCAAGCAATCTGCCCACCTCAGCCTCCTGAAGTGCTGAGATTACAGGTGTGAGCCACCACGCCCAGTGGCTATTTTCTTTAGGCACATACATTCTACGTGACCTTTTACCCTCCACTGCTCCTAAGAAGTTAGTTCTGTTTTTCACTCTTTTAAAGATAGCTGACTACTTTATCATGCTATGGACTCACTGAACAATGAGCCTTCATTCATTCATTGAGAATCCATCAACTAACATCTTTTGTCAATTTAGGAAATTCTTAGCTCTTACCTCCTCAGATATTGCCTCTCTCATCAACTTCTGGACATTTAAATACATGCATATTAGATAGTTTTCACTGTATCCTCTCTCATCTCTTTACTCTCAGTTTTGCACTTTTACCTTGGTCTTTCAAAGCTGATGCCTTTTTCTGACAAATTTTATAGTTCACTAATCTCATTATAGAGCTGTATCTAATTTGTTAAATACATCAGTTGAATTATTTTTCAGTTCTAGAATTTGTATTAGGTTCTTTATCAAACCTATAATGTCATTTTATAGTTTCTGGTTCCCTGATGAAATTTCCAAGCTTGGCTGCTGCTTTGACCTTAGTGAACAATTGTTGTGTAATCTGAGTTAGCCAATTCTAATATCTTAAGGTTTTCTGTGGTCTGTTGTTCGTGTTGGTTCTCACATGTGAAATCTTTTCTTGTGTGTCTGATTTTCTTTGTGTGCTGAACATGTATTTGTAAAAAAACCAAACAAACAAAAAAAAACAGGTATAGAAATAATATAAGCCCTAAGTATAGGATATAATCCTGTCTTCCTCCAGAGAGGATTTTTATTTTACTTTGTTAGGTAATTGAAGAGATTACTAGTCAGAAACCACCATAATACAGGTTCAAGGCCTCATTTTCTCTTGACCAACAAATGACAAAAATCTGGGCGGAAAGTCTGGCTAGGAGGCTGGGTGGGCACCATGGCTCACACCTGTAATCCCCACACTTTGGGAGATCCAGGCAGGAGAATCACTTGAGGCCAGGAGTTTGAGACCAGCCTGGGCAACATGGAGAAACCCTGTCTCTACAAAAAGTAAAAAAATAAAACAAAAATTAGCAGAGCATGTTGTGCGCCAGTAATCCCAGCTACTCAGAAGCCTGAGGCAAGAGGCTCTCTTGAGCCCCATGTGGTCAAGACTGCAATGAGTCATGACCTTACTACTGCACTCCAGCCTGGACAACAGAGCAAGACCCTGTCTCAAAATAAATAAAAAAAAGTCCAGCAAGATTTTTGTTTTGTTTTATTTACTTCCAATTCACATTTGGGATTGAATTTCAGGGTCCGAGCTTAAAGTGGGTGTGATTTATTAGAGTCCCTACCTTTGTGAGCCTAAACTGCTTTTTTTCTCTCAGTCCTACAGCCCACTCAAAGTGTAGCTCGGTTTTAATACTGAAGCTGTTTCGGCCGGGCGCGGTGGCTCAAGCCTGTAATCCCAGCACTTTGGGAGGCCGAGACGGGCGGATCACGAGGTCAGGAGATCGAGACCATCCTGGCTAACACGGTGAAACCCCGTCTCTACTAAAAAAAAAAAATACAAAAAACTAGCCAGGCATGGTGGCGGCGCCTGTAGTCCCAGCTACTCGGGAGGCTGAGCCAGGAGAATGGCGTAAACCCGGGAGGCAGAGCTTGCAGTGAGCTGAGATCCGGCCACTGCACTCCAGCCTGGGCGACAGAGCCAGACTCCGTCTCAAAAAAAAAAATAAAAATAAAAAATAAAACAAGCTGTTTCTACTAAATTGGCAAATGCTGGCAGGGTATAGTGGCTCATACCTGTAATCCCAGCACTTTGGGAGGCCAAGGCCAGTGGAACTTGAGATCAAGAGTTCAAGACCAGCCTGGCCAACATGGTGAAACCCCATCTCTACTAAAAATAAAAAAAATTAGCCGGTTGTGGTGACGCGTGCCTGT